CCTCGAGGGACTGCACCCCGTCGGGCTCCAGCGACAGGAGCAGGTGGCCCCACAAGGAGCGACTCTGCAAGCACACTCCTTGACCACAGCTGGAAAGATTCTCCGATGTTTGATTCCTGGTCCTCCTCGTCGTTCTCCTCCTCCTCCTCCACAGGAGGAGGAGGAGGAGGAGGAGGAGGAGGAGGAGGAGGAGGAGGAGAAAGAGGAGGGGGATGATGATGATGATGCTGATGCTGACAATGATGATGATGATGATGATGATGATGATGATGATGATGATGATGATGGTGATGATGATAATGATGATGAGGAGGAGGAGGAGGAGGAGGAGGGGAGGAGGAGAGGAGGAGGAGGAGGAGGAAGAGGAGGAGTAGGAGGAGGAGGAGGGTGGGGGAGGAGGAGGAGGAGGAGAAGAAGAAGGAGGAGGAGGAGGTGGAGGAGGAGGAGGAGTTCGAACTCAGGCGGGGGTCCTGCTCTAGACAGGCCGCACACACACACATTCATGCATGATCAGGGAACGCAGTGCCCGACTTTGGAGGCAGCCCCCTGGAAAAAGGCGCGAGAACACCTCACGCCCCGCCTTCGAAGGGCATGGCCCTCGGGCGGGGTCTCCGCACAATCCATTCAGGATGCGGGGAGGGGCGACAGTGCAGAAACCTCCACAAACCGTGCAGAACAGTACTCCTCGCTGCACCGACAGTCGGTGGGAGGGGTGACATCGGTCGGCCAAAGGGTGGCCCAGGGCACCCCCACACAGGTCCGACGGCCCCAGGCAATCAGGGGTGGGGTCAGCGCCAGAATCGCCCCTCTCCTCCCGCGGCACGAGCAGCTGAACACGCTGCTGGATGATACAACGGGGCTTGCATGCATTTGGCCAGAAGCCCGCAAGCTGGCCTCTCAGACTATGGCTCAGCCCACATTGCTTGCACTTGATGCAGGCCCTGCGCACAAGGGGGTCGTGCCCTGCATCTCTCAACCTGCAAACACGCTCGGACAGAGAGGGGACCACCCATCGAGTACGCCGAGGCTCGCGGAGCCCCTTCCTCTCACGTCCCGAGGAGAACAAACCTTCACGCTGAACAGCGAGTTTTTTTTTTTTTTTTTTTTTTTTTTTTTTTTTTTTTTTTTTTTTTTTTTTTTTTTTTTTTTTTTTTTTTTTATATTATTATATATATTATATATAATATATATATATATAATATATATATATATATATATATATATATATATATATATATATATATATATATATATATTATATATATATATATATATATATATAAAAAAAAAAAAAACTCGAACGGCGAGCTCATCAACCCGCACAATAGAATTAACAAGATCCTCATCCAGCTGGGCCTTCTCGGCAGCCCAATCGGCAATGCAATCAGCCGCCTTATTCAAATCCACCTCTACTTCAGACAAAAAAACATATTTTCGGCCTGGGCTTGGGTGGGGTGTCGTTTGGTCCAGGCCAGTCGGAGAGAGCCCTTCCGTTCGGAGAGCACCCTGTGAAATTCAGCCCACAGGTCCAGCATGCTAGACTTCCTATTTGCCCGTAAGCTGTTCCTCGCCCCCTTCACGACCAAAAGGCAATCACAATAAGCTCGAACATCTCCAACGCTGGCTCGCAATAGCTCGATCAAGGCAAAGATCTCTGCCCTTGGCGAAGACTGACGCACGCGCGGCAATGACCCACATCGAGCCGCGTCTATCCTACCATCTGGGCCAAGGTGCACGAATGACCATCCACGCCGACGCAGTCCCCAATCCTTCGAGCATTTGCCTCCAGATCCATCAACACCCCAGACGCCATCACGTATGAGCTCCCCCTCAAGGCACCGTCCCCAATCCCAAACCAAACGCTGAGGAGGGGGAAGGTGACCTAAGGAATCGCCCAACGACGGGAGCCCCCCCCGACACCAACAACTCACCTTGTCGTTTTCAACAATGGCCCTGGGGGCCAAGGAACCGGTATTTTCAATAGTGTAGCCAGGGATATCCCGATTGCACGCACACTGCCAGTACCGATGCAGCAGGGACTCGGGGGCTTCTCCACATCTCCCGCAAAGCCCGTTACTGTCAGAAACGTACCCAGCAGCATGCAATCGCTCTGCAGGCCACGACGCGGCAATGAGCACATTACGCAGCATGCCCACCGCATCGTGCTCACCGTCTCGGGCAAGCTTGGCCAAAAACCTACGCACAGGGGTAAACTCAACTCCTCTCTCCAGGCCCGCACCACAACAGTGCTTGGAAGCTTGGCCCCAGGACACAGCAGAACACGTCCTCAAAAGGGCACCCCAAAGCTGGAAAGGAAACTCATCATCATTCAGCCTTAAAACCGAATCCTCAGTGCGCCAATGCACTGGTGGCTCTGCGTGAGGCTAGATCACGCAGCGCAGCAATGGTGGCCGCCGTCGGCCCTTAACTACCTGCCAACGGTATTTGGCCTGATCCATCTTGGTAGATATCTTCTTCCAACCCTCAGAACACAAACTGCGCGATTCATGATCAAGATCCGCCCAAGATAAAGCCCAACCGTTCAGCTGTTCATAGCGAAGCCTAAACTGGGGGTCATCCTCCGCGCCCCCAAGTAAGCCAAGCAAGGTAGTGGTACAGGCACCTGGGGCCCACAACCCAGAGCACGTGGCAGCATGAGCGCGCATGGACTTAACTTGACCAGGAGAAAGCCCCAAGACCCCATGGCCCCGCGACCCCACGGCCAGGACCCCAGGTTTATACAGCTTGCACGCGCGGCCGACCAGCCGAGTTAAAAACTGCACCTTCCGACTTTTCCGATAGGCGATAGCACGCCTTTGTCGCAACTTGCTCATATTTCGGCGGGTTCCTGCAGGAGACGTGGCCCCCAGATCTCGAACCGAGTCTCTCCACTGAATAGGTAGGTTGACTGAAGAGAACATCTGCATGATCTCGGCTCCGAGCTTTCTGTGGGGAACCAAAAGGGTGTTTTTGTCAGCCATGAATGCGCCTGCGGCCTCCAGCTCGTGACACAGGTGCAACGCAGCAGGCGCGAAGGCGGCGAGGACCTCTTCGCGGGATCCTTGCTGCGTTTGAACAGTATCGTCCACGTACCCCTTGATGCGGACAGGCAAGAAGGAAGCGTG